TTTGGTTATTTGGTACAAGACTTCTCTTAAAAGCTTCTAGCATTGACTCGTGCATTAGCTTGTCATCGCAAGTCATTGTACAGGCCATGCACGCTTTCGAAACACCATTATGATTCATAACGGAAGTCGAAGGTGGGGTACACTCCAAAAATAATCACCGAATGATCAAAACCTAAAGACTTCATCCTTTAGCAGTCATTATTGTTTAATACGAGATAGAATAATTGTATGAGGTAGTATAAGAATGTTGTGTGAAACCTTGCTCCAGTATTTACCATCTCAGTGAAAAGCTTTGTTCTGAATAGTCGATACAATGAAGGTAAGTCATTATTATTTTTTTCATGTTGGCCATTATAGAATGTCGCTCATATTTATTCCATTAATCTGATACACTGGTGTGCAAATTTTTGGGACGATTTGGATCAATGAACTTGAAACATTAATGACTGGATGGGAATTAATGTAAGTTTGGGGGCATATTGCTAGTTATATAAGATGCCTAGGAATCCCGACTTCCCTCTGTGAAGGAAAAGCCCAAATAAGGCGCAGAATAAGGCCGCCCGCGTAAATCGATATGAAAAAAGCTTTTGCCGATCAATGAATGGCTCATAGTACTGTGGAGCTCCCTTATACTTTAACACAACATGTCCGTAGACAACTTCTGGATGATTTATACGAGGAAGTGCTTCGGGGAACTCGGAGGTCGAACCATGACGAGTGTAGACAGGGAGTACGGTATCGTTTTCACGGTTGTTTCATGTTGATAAAAAGCGTTCCAAACCTCTGATAGTGCTGCTGCCCGAAGGAAGGAGGATGTCTGACCAAGATCGACTGCACCACAGGATGATACTACATTGTGTAGCTGACGAGAAATTGCGCATGACAATCAGCTCGTGAGATTGCAATGACGTTCAATACGTAGGACTTCAAGACAAGTCATCGCACGCACTCCGGTGGCACGACGACAGCACGGTGGGGGCCTCTTCGCCCAATGACCTCTTTATTGTGTTTCCTTAGCCCATCGGCGGGGCCCTTTACGATGGCGCCAGCAAATAACCTAATGAGAAATGGAGTCATGCGCTCAGCAGTGATTCTGAACGCAACCTCCTATGGCGAGAAACGGGAAGGCGCAAGTCTCACAGAGACATTGTCGAACTTGATTGTTATGGTGGTCGACGTGTGATGGAATGGGGAGTCATCATGTTGCATGGCCGTACTGACCTCTTCATTTCTGTGTGTGAAACTATTACTAATCAGCGTTACTCTGGCGAGATACTCCTCCCTCATGTGAATCTTATCAGGTCTGCAATTGGCCTTGAATCTGTGTTTATGAGTTACAATACGAGACCTCATCGAACAGCGCAGGAGAAGGAGCTTTTGGAACGAGATGATATCCGGCTAATGGAATGGCCTGCCGGTTCCCTCGACCTAAATCCATCGAGCACAAGTGATGGCGTAGCAGCACGTCCAAATGCATCCATCACTATCCAGCCAATGTCAAATGCGCTGATAGAGGAATAAAAGCGCTACCACAGGAACTCATTAACAACCGTGTAGGAAGTGTGTGGACGCGTTGCAGAACATGTATTTCTGTCCGTGTTGATAACGCATCCTATTAAGAATCGAGTCACTTCTTGTATCAGGATAAATTATGAAAAGTGTGTAATCGATTTTTTCGAATAAGAATGTCATATCTATTTGTGTGATTTCGAGTTTCCAGTTGTTGCTTCCTGTGCAGTACCGTAGTTGTTTCATCGAGCAATGCTATCTTGCATAGATACAGCAATTGGAAGTTGCCTTTGTCCCTAAGTTTCGTACACCCGTGTGTTTCGACACACTCTCTCGGAGTGAGTAAGGCTCTTCAAGAGTGTGTGTCCTGGCACGTTCAACGGTGTAGCAGCTGTCAATAAGCGGGAGGCCATCAAGCCAAAAATTCCAATCAAGTATGTTTGATCAGAAACATCGCCTACACGTTCAACATTGAACAAGTGAAAACAGTAGCCGAGTTCCATCGAATCCTGTGTTTAAGATTCATTCGTGAAGTAGCATTATTTCGTCAATGCCAGCGGTGACTTTGGCATTTTTGAGACGGAGATGGTAGCCATGGGGAGATAGATCGTGGAAACCCATCTGTTGTGGATTCACAACCATTTCTATGTTTACAATAGAACTAGCCTGAACATTAACATATTAACCATAGGCATATTTGACATGAGTATCTCTT